AAAGTCCCACTTGTTTTTTCTTTGCAGCCCACCATCACCTCCACTCCCATATCCCATGCCACTCTATCTGCAAACAGTGTGGGGCAGAATCTAAGCTAGTAGACATCCTAAAGCTGTATCCCTGGACAACATGGCCCTACAAACATGGGAATGGCTGTGTAGGCTTTGCCATTTTCCAATGGAAAAAGAGGGATAAAATTACAATAAGAACATAAGAATGGCTGTACTGTACTTGGTCAGACCAAAGGTCCATCTAGCCCAGTAGCCTGTCTGCCAACAGTGGCCAGCACCAGGTGTCCCGGAGGGGGTGAACCAAAGACGATGATCAAGCGATTTGTCTCGTGGCATCCATCTCCAGCCTCTGACAGACAGAGGTCAGGCTCACTATTTCTACCCCCTGGCTAATAGCCAATTCAGAGTGACTTATCAATATTAGCACAAAATAGTGTCAAACTTTTTGAAGCTAGTCTTTCATATCTCTCGCTGTTTAAAGAAAGTTTTTCCTGTGGGATGACAGTGATGTCATCACGTCACTCTGCATCCCGCAGCCCCATCCCTCTCAGCCACCCAGCCTCCCTCCCTCACCGGTGCTGAGGGCTTGGCCTCCCTGGTGCTGGGGTGGGGTGACAGCCATGCAGCTTCCCCATTGCTCCAGGGAAGGGTTTCAGGGGAAGAGAAGCCAGGTGCCCTCCCCCTTCGCAGGGGGTGGGGCGGGAGCTGTGAGGCTCCTCTCCCGGGAGGCTGGGTAGGGGTAGGGGCAAAGAGGCACAGCTAGGGAGGGCAAGTGCTGGGGCAGCTTCAGCCTCTGGGGGGCAGGTAAAGAGCCAGGGGGTCTTGGACCTTCTCTGGCAGCCGGGGGAGGGAGAGCTGGGGCCAGGGCAGCATCAGTCGTGGGCCCTCCTTGGAGGCCAGGGAGAGATCCGGGCCAGCTGTGGCCTCAGTCCAGTCCAACCTCCTGGCAGATGGGGGAGTTAGAGCTGGAGCAGGCCAAGGCTGCCATACCTTGGCCTGGCCCTCCCCGGTGGCAAGGAGTGGTGTGTGTGTGTGGGGGGGAGCTGTTACTGCCTACCCCCAGAGAGGGGAATTGACAAGTACAGTGAGCAGGGGGCAAGTGATTTTTTTTTTAAAAAAGACCTCCTAGTGATTTTTTTTAAAGCCTTTGTCAATCAAAATAACCTGACCTGTGTATTGGCCAGAATCCTTATTGAGCAAATCTATGTACTTTGCTGTAACATACAGTATTAAATACAGCTGTTTGTTATAATAAATTATCTGGACCCACTACACTGTTTCATAATATGCAGAAATCTACCTGTACAAGAAAGCGAGGTCAGGAGGTGGTCTTGGTCCCAGTCTATTAAAGGCTTTAAAAGTTAAAATGGAGTGCTCTCTCATCCTGTTGAACTATCTGCTTGTGGTATCATAGAGTTGTTTATGATTAATGGGTCATACATTCCAGCTCCAGAATGCTGAACTGCATGCACAAGGTCCACATACACTAGCACAATTTGTAAGTGCTTAGTGTTTTTACCTCTGAGTCACGTAAGCTTGCTCTGTGCAGAGTTAGTTAACTTGATGGCTCAATATTATATTGTTGGGAGGAGGGGACTGCATGATCGCTGAAAAATCTCAAAAATATTTCACTTACAGAAAATTTAGTTTAATGCCAGATGAGATCATTAGATCATCTTGTCTGACCTCCTGTATATCACAGGCCATTACATTTCACCTAGTAACCCCCCTGTAGGGCCCAGATCTTCCAGAAAGCCACTCAATCTTGGTATGAAAACCTCAAGAGAGAGAAAAGAGAGGCCTATGCAGCACTTTAAAGACTAACAAGATGGTTTATTAGGTGATGAGCTTTCGTGGGCCGACCCACTTCCTTAGATCAAATTCTGGAAGAGAATTGGTATGACCATACCAAAGGAATACAATGAAAAAAACATGGCTACATCTCTCTTACTATTCAAGAGAGAGAGGGAGAGAATCCACTATTTCCCTTGTTTGTTTCAATGGTTAATCACCCTCACAGCTAAAGAGTTGCATTTTGTTTAAATTTATCTGGTTTCAGTTTTCCACCATTGGTTTCTGTTATTCCTTTATCTGCTAAAGAGCCCTTTTGGTATCTCCCCTAAGGTACTTACATATTGTAATCAAGTCACTTCAGTCTTCTTTTGAGACTCTAAACAGATGGAGATCTTTAGGTCTTACTGCAACACATTTTCTTGGTCACTGAATACTTTTTTATCTTTCTTCTGTGTTTTACCATCCTTTTCAAAATGTGGATATTGTATGGAATATTCTGCTGTCTCACAAATGATGTGTAGTTCTCTACTCATATTCACTGCACTTTGTTATACATTCAAGGATCACATTAGGTCATTTTGCCACAGAATTACACTGGGAACTCATGTCTAGTTGCTTGTCTACTATGACCCATAAATCATTTTCAAAGTCACTGCTCTTCAGAACACTGTTCCCCTATTCTGTAGGTATGGCCTGCATTCCTTGTTCCTAGATGTATAAATTTGCATCTGGTTATATTAAAATACATTTTGCTTGAATGGATCTTGTTTACCAACCAGTCCCAATGGGTCTGTATGACAGCCTTCTCCTTATCATTTTGTACCACTCCAATAGTCTTTACGTCATCCGCAAATTTTATCAGTGGTGATTTTATATTTACTTCTGGACCACTGATTAAAATGTCAAGTAGTATTTGGTCTAGTACCTTTGCCCATAGAAGCCTCTTCAGAAAGCAACCCCATTTGAGATCTGTCAGTGGCACAGTGATTGGTTATTTAGAGTCACTTTTGAGCTTTGGGCCTGGCCTTTTATTTGTTTTGGAAATGGCCAGTGGAAGCAATACTCTTAAATATACATCACATGGACTTATCAGATATAAGGAAAACAAAAGTAACACTTTGTGCCTTCTGCCCTTGGAGGTGACCTATGACAGTTTCCAAAATAAAGGGATTTACAGAGTCAACACTAGTATAATTTTTGCAGTAGGGAGGGGTTCCTGTCCTATGGGTACACAGACCAAACAGCTTGTATAGCATTTTTGTTTTGCTGGATAGATATCTTGACAAGCCCAGCAGCAGTACCATGGGGTTTGCTTTGTAATAAACACAGGGGCATTGCCATGCTGCTCAGTTTTGCCTTTCACATGATACTCAGTACTGGGAATACAGAGCCATGAAGAGAGAAACATTTATGTAAATAACCTGGGATTAAACATCTTGCACCTTCTATGAGGAAATACAAATATCTAACTCTATGGATGAGCTGAAAAATTGAGCTCAGGAAGCTGCTGTGCTGGCTTCATACGAGCACAAACATAGGGTAGGTAGAAGCCACAGCACAAGGAACTAATGTTTCGTTACATAATGTGCTTCAGTAAGGCCATGGGGAGTCAGCTTCTGACATTCTAACTCACAATGAGAGCAGATGAGAATTCCCATTGGCTTTGGGGGCTCCAGTGAAGTAAGGTAAGACTATTAGGACCTCTGGCCAAAGGAATATGCCCCCCATCTATGAGGCTAATTTGCACGGATTGTCCGAGACAGCAAGTCTATTACAAAATGAATGCAGTCGTGCAAGAGGACTCTTTGCCTCATTTCCTCTCACACAGCATGAGCCATAGTGCAAGCACCCACTTGGGCTACCACGCAGCCTGACTGAGGTTGACCGTACTTATCCCTTTTGTGGGTCCTTCAACAGAAAGAAGCACTAGCAGGAGATCTGATTGGAACGAGGAGGAAGTGCCTGTGTTAGCCTACCATTCAAAGAGAAGAAAGGGAACCACTTAACAAGAAAACTTCCAACTTCATTTTTAATTTTAAAAGTCTGGATTACCAAAAAAAAACAAAACAAAAAAAAACCCACAATTTTTTTTTTGCCAGTAAAAAAATAAATACATTTTAAAAATCCCTGATGGGGTATGCCAAATATCACAGAAAGGGATCAGCTTTCTGGCATCACCTTTGGCAAAACTGATATAAAGTCACAGCAAAAAAACTCCATCAAGGAACTGAGACGTCTAAGTCTTCTTCCCTTAGTTTGTGCGTAGGAAGTAGGATGGGGAGTTCAAGTTTCAATATGCTGGATTACAAATAAAGGACTGTAAACCCTGCAGAGACAGCTAGGCTTTAGCCTAGTTACTAACTGCTGTGTCAGTCTAGCCTATGCACCAAACTGAATACATCTTGTTACCTGGTTCGGGGACAAGGATCATGCAACCAGGTTCCACCATTGTTACTGCCCATTTATATCCCACGAGCTATAGCAGAAGTGAGGGTATGTCTACACTACCACCCTAGTTCGAACTAGGGTGGTTAATGTAGTCATTCGAAGTTGCAAATGAAGACCGGGATTTAAATATCCCGGGCTTCATTTGCATCTTGCCAGGCGCCGCCATTTTTAAATCCCCGTTAGTGCGGACTCCGTGCCCGTGGCTACACACGGCACGGAGTAGGTAGTTCGAATTAGGCTTTCTAATTCGAACTGAGGAGTAACGGTAGTTCGAATTAGAAAGCCTAATTCGAACTACCTACTCCGTGCCGTGTGTAGCCACGGGCACGGAGTCCGCACTAACGGGGATTTAAAAATGGCGGCGCCTGGCAAGATGCAAATGAAGCCCGGGATATTTAAATCCTGGCCTTCATTTGCAACTTCGAATGACTACATTAACCACCCTAGTTCGAACTAGGGTGGTAGTGTAGACATACCCTGAGAGATGCTCGTGACTGTTAGTAGTTTAACCACTACATTGTTCACAGCTGCAGGATTAAACAACATTGGTAGTTAAAAGGGCAATGGCTGGTCTGTATCAGGACTTCCCCCACTTCTGGAGATGAACTGATTGTGGTTACAGTGGGATCTTTTAGTGAAAAAGTGCTAGAGGGGACACAGCTTTGGAGTGGACGATTAAAGAAGGTTGGTGAAGGTTTGAGATAGGGATGTGAAGGACTAGTCGACTATCCAATAAGCAATCTGATCCCGAGCTCCACGTAGTGCTGCTGCTTTGAAATGCCACAAGGAGCCTGGTGCCGGGCTCCCCACGGCGTTTCAAAGTGGCAGCGCTGCACAGAGCCCAGGGTCGGCAGGGAGTCACCAGATGACTCAGGGCTCCATGCGGCACTTTCGTTTTTGAAGTGTAGCAACAGCCCTACGGTTGTTGTTACACTTCAAAGGTGGAGGTGCCCTATCGACTAATCAATGCAAAATGCATCAACTTTTTGATTAGTCTACTCACAATTTAACATCCCTAGTTTGAGATGAGATCTCACAACAGATGGAGCTTTATAATGAGAATGTTTCTCTTTTTGTCCTTTGTAGGCTGGAAGAGAACCGTGGAAAGAGAAGCCATTTGAAAACAATTATGCAACCTAGAACATATAGGATTTCAGTGTTTAGGCAAAATTAAATAGACACTTTCTAGATGAAGTAGGGACCTAATTTAGAAAATGTGAATTATGTACTGGCTGCAGTCGACATCCTAACAATGTTTAATCTTTGTTTAAAAACATCTTCTCTTAATACAGTTCCCATGACTGTAGAACAGGGCATCATACAGTTTCTTGCATATAGAACAGCGACAGGAGAGAACATGTGAGACCTCAAGGACTAGTTCCACTGCATGACTATTAATTACAAATGTAGTTTTGTGTTTGGCTAGATTCTGGACATCAGTAAATTTTGCTCTGTGCTCATAGTTGGTCAAGGTGTCTAGAAGCTGTAAGCATGTCCCAAGGACATATTACAGACATTACAAGATGACTACAGTACCATCTATAAATTGTCTCATCTACTAGGAAAAGGCAGCAGAGAAAGGCATGTTCAGATGAAAGGAGTGTCCCCTCCTCCACAGCCTAGGATTAATTTGCACATATCCAAGCCCTGCAGCACACTGATAATACCCTTGATTCACAGGTGGTTACATGTTCTTAAGCTTCTGTCACAGGATGGCAGAAAGTAGATTTATGACAGTTGTTCTTGAGAATGTGACCTTCCTAGTCTAGCACTGGCTATGTTCTGTGTCAGCAGATCCGTAGCTCATTCTCCAAGCCATAGATTTTTGCCTTTAGGTTTCTTAGCTCCCCTTGAATTTTCTGGGTGCGCCTGTTTCCTTGGCGGACCTCATGCAGAATTGCTAGGTCCTGGTCTGGTCCAATGTTCATGGTCACCTAGAGAGGGAAAGAAACAAAAACCCACAAAGACATGGTTTATGGTGTAAGATCTGGAGGAGAGAACAATTCTGTACAAGGAGATTCATTGTGCCTAGCAAGGGGGACTCAACCACGGTGCATCTGAGCTGCATCATACATGGAAACGAGCCCCAGGATAGAGTGTAGATAATGGATATGTCTTGTCAGTATCATGAGCGTGTCCTGCCAACGCAATGGCAGAGGGAACTCTAAAGTATAACCTGAAATGTATCAGTAAATGGTCAGCTGTTTAACAAATAATTTCCAGTATGATTTAAAAGAACTAATTACAGTATAACAAGATGTGTATATTTCCAAATAACCTAGCTTTTTTGTACTTAAGTCTCAACTGTAGTCTCAGGTCACATCCTCTACAGGTGGTAGTGAGGATCACATCTTGCCTTAGCAGAAGACTGCAGTTGGTGACCTAATACACTTTTTGAACTAGAATGACCAGAATGATTTAGGATCATGGATGCTGTCTAGCTTGTATGTTAGATTTTATTTGTGCACCCCCTTGTGGTCAAGTATGTGATAAGATTAGGACTATACAATTAGGCTGAAATAATTAACTCGCTATTGACTTGGATTGGATTAACCATTTCCTTTTCTTTTGTATTTCTGCAAGTTAACCATTCCTTGTGGTGTCATATGCATAACTCTGGCTATGCAGGATATTCTAGAAGTCATTATATTCTGTGTATGACCACCTGAACTTAATTTTGCACTGACTCCTTATTCTTTGCACAAAGTGCAAGTGTGCCTGCTCACACTAAAGTTCAGAGGTTTGTCATCACTGACCTCAGGCTTCTGCTTTTGTCCTGGCAGACAGGGTTCGGAGTTCTGGATTTCAGCTCCAGGTGGTGGGTCTTCGACTGTCTACTCTGAGCTCCAGCAAGTCTAATGCCAGCCTGCTTGGCAGCTGCCTAAAATCTGCTTGCAATCCCCTCCCTCCCGCCATAGGCCCCAGATCCCAGCTGAGAACCACTGCTATGTTACAAATACCTAAAGGCCAAAGTGAGGGAAAACAGGAATTTCCAATAAATTAGGCTCCAAGGAAACACTGGATCTGAATATTCAACTGTGCCCCCTGCCCCTCAGGAGCCAATTCCATCTGAGCACTTGCCCCAGAGATGATCATTTTGTACCTTAAAGAGCTGTTTCTCTATGTCCTTCAACCTCTGCCGAAGTTGCTTGATGTCATTCTTGAAGCCCTCCACCTCCATACTACGCCGTTTTTCCAAGGCCTCATATCGTTGTGTCATTAGCTGCAAACGCTTTCCCATCTTTTCTGAGCGCTCCTGGGGATAGGAAAGCACAATAGGATTTGTAGGCAAGGACATCATCGACAACATGGAAAAGAGGAAAATCAGACAACCCCAAGAGACTGCAAACCCATCTTGCAGCTGCAGACACAGGCATTACCTTGAAAAGTTCTCTGCCAACATCTCCTTCTTCACGAATTCTAGCCAGCTCTCCCTCCAGAGCAATACATTGCTCTCGGTACATATCTGCCAATCGGTGCGCCTGTGTCAGTTGCTCCTGTAATGACTGAAACCCGGGAGAAAGAATTAGGATTAAGAGAGGCAGGTGGTAGGCAGCCAGTACAAACAGCATCTCCCTCCCTACAAAACAAAGGTGGAACCCAAGGCAATTGTCAACAACTCCCTGAGCGCTCTTTGGTGGTGATATTATGTCAGAAAATAACCAAATGAGTAGCCCTAGAAATTGCAGTTGTATCAGGACAAGAGAGATTAGAGCTCTAACAATGCTAAACTCCTTCAAATTACAGGATCACCTGTATGCAGATGAGACACTACAGTACAGAACAAACATTGTTCTATCCACCATATAGCCACTAGAACCCACAAGGTTTTTTTGTTTTGTTTTTTTAATATCAAGGGTTGGTTTCACTGTCTTCAGTTAAAAATTCCCCATCTCATATCTGTTTGGTTACTGCTTTCCATCTCTGAGGTAACTGCATTTCAATGGTGGATAAAGCAATTCCTTTAAGTATATACTGTGATTAGTAAACTATGATGGGTACATGTAATATGAAGGCAGTACAAGTTCTCAGGGTTCTCACTGCAAGTACATCAGTTGCTGAAGGAAAAAGACAGTTGGTTGGGAGCAGCAGAATTGTAAGCAACATTTTACTGAGAAAAGCAGTGTTCTCACTACAACAGGCAAAACACCGAGTATGTTTTCTTACTACCAGTAGTTAACAGTATTTCCAAAGGATAGTTGCCCATTTCATGCTTAGTAAAACCTACTCCTAATAAAGAGCTTGAGAGCTTAGAAATAATATTCCAGTAGGCAGGTAGAACAAGCTGAGGAGCTATATGCTTGTTTTGGGTGTGAAAGGAGTGTGGAATATTAGTCTTGTGAGACACAACCCCAAGAAGCACCATGACAAAGGAACAGAGCTCTAGCTACATAACATTTTATTTTTTAAATTAATGACCAACAACCTCCTGTACAGTAAATCTTTCTATGATGGAGCCAGGGTGTATTCTGTGACAGAGAATTCCAGCTCTAAAACAGTGAACACCAGTTTCTCAGTAAAGCACCTTGTTGAGAGACAATCCAAGACTCTCTCAAACCTCCATCCATAAACAGGTGGATTTCCTGTCCAAGAGAACAGCAATTACCTTGAGTTCTCCATTCTGTGCTTTCCAAATTTCACTCTCTGCTTGAGAAGTATGCTTGATGTTTCTCTCCTCCTCCTTTTCCTTCTCCTTCTTCTGCTTCTTCTCTCTCTCCGGCTCCCTGCTGATGATAAACTGATCCCTGCTTACATCAAGCTTCCTCAACAGACAGTCCTTCTCTGCCATCCATGATTTCTCATTGGCCCGTGCATCAAACTTAAGCTGAAGGAAGTCACGTGTGCTCTCGTACAGCAGGTTTTGAGTTTGATGAAGCCTGAAGACAAGGATTGCATTAGAGCAGCGGTTCTCAAACTTTTTGGGCTCCGGAGCCCTTTACATGTGTAAAAATGATTCAGAGCCCCAGCAGTCCACTGATTGTATGTGTTGTACCTATCGATGTTTCCAGTTTGTCAACCTTGCGGAGTCCCTGGGGCTCTGCGGAGCACAGTTTGAGAAACACTGCATTAAAGTACAAATATCACTGCCTTCCCCAATTCCCTTCATCGTTCACCTACACTCTCCCTGAGAGTTGGAATGGACATGGGATGAGAGAAAGGCCAAGAGCGTCCCTCGCATACTTTCCAGGGTCAAGTGCTACAGGGATGAAAGAGGATTTTTAGCTTGTAGTTTATTCACTCAATCTCCAATTACATACCAAGCAACTGACCAAATACCCTGTTTTTCTACCTATTAGGTTGCAAACATGTAGGTGATTTTTAAACTTTGGGTTTCCTGACACAATCAAACCAGAATCATTCTCTTGCACTCACTTCTCTGTCAGGGTTTTGATCCTGTCCTGGTCCCTCTGATGCTGGACTTGGACTTCCTCTACGTGAATCCGCCTGTCCTCTAGCAGTGCATCAAGCTGCTCCTTGGACAACCGTGTCTGCTCTTCCATCTGAGCTTGCAGAGCCTCCACCTGGATTGGCACATGGGAAAGGTAGAGAGTAAGCTCCTACACCAGACATGCTGCCTTCCTTGAGAGCCATTTAAATTCCAGGCCAGGCCCAGACACAGTGAGAAAACATTCCCTAACCTATAATGCTCTAGGTCTATTATATAGGTCTAATTTCTCTGCAGGCCTTGATATTAGGAGAAATCTGCTTTGGTGCTCTAGAAGATTCCTGTAACAGATTTCTTTACCCTCTGTGTGAGAGAGACTTTACGGAAGGTGGTACTGGACACAGGAAGGGAAGTGGAGGGGCAAAGGTTAATGTGCTTCACTAAATCTGGCACCTATTGCAATGTAGAGCAGTCCTAGAGATCTCATCACCCTTCTACTTTTCTTGTTTCATATCAACCTAACTCCCCTTGTAAGTCCACTGCAGAGCAAGCTCAACAGACTAGGAGCAGGTGGGAGGCACTGACAGGGTAGCATAGAATAGGAATGGACATGCACTGTAAGGATAGAAGATAGGCAGGCAGCATGTTTGGCTGTTGTATAAACCCATGTGTAACATTGTATGGAATATGTGGAACACTTTATGATATTATGGGCACCAATATTATAAAATTGCAAGGAAATTGATCAGATAAGACATATGAGGTATCTATGAAAATGATAATCTGGTTTATATGTCTGTATCACCCTTGTATTATCTGTTATAGGTATGTAGGGTATATCTGTATTTGAAACTGGTGCTATGCTTCTGGATGACTCCCACAGACAGATTGGCATCAGCACCCCTTAGCCTGCTTGATAACCCAAGTGACATTGGCTGTAAAATAAACCCATTAAGAGATCAGGGACTGCACATAATGAGTCAGTATGCCATGTAGGGGCATGCCTATGGACAGAGAACTGTAAGATTTTTCTATATACTGTGAAGCTTGTGTTTGGGACACAGGAAGCCTCATGGCAAAATAATATAGTAAAATGCAGTCGCATCGTCTTCATTCCTGTTTCCTACCTCTGGAGTAACCTTCTACAACTGAAGTTCTGAAGAAAGGACTGAATGACCCATCCAAGCTGTGACTGTATTGCAGAGTGACTTTCAAGCCAGCAAACTCACCAACACTGCTAAGAACCTGATGTGTGGATTTTGTAGTCTGATGTACTATTGCTTTGCCATTTAATAACTTACATTTTATTCTCTCTTTTATATTAAACCTTTAGTTTTAGACACTAAAGGATTGGCTGGCAGCACGATATTTTGGGTAACAGTCAAACCTATACTGACCTGGTAAAATAGGGTCAGAAGAATGTTTTGTGTACGTGAGCAGAGTTTTGAAATAACTCTTCACCTAGCACAGGACCTAGGTGCTGACTGGGAATCAGAGAACTAGAACACAAAAACAGAGCTGTGTTATTCCTTTTTTATTTTTTATTGAAATTCTTGATAACCAATGTGAGGCTCATAAGCACAGTTTGTGACTGAAGTCAACTCACTAACTAGTGTTAACCATCAGTCTTTGGGAGAATCTGTTCTGCCTTTAGCAACCTACCCTGACCTAGCCATTTCCAGTGGAGGTACCCCAGTGTCACCATGGGGTCAGACCAGGCACAGACAGAATCTGCATCTGTTGAGCAGTAAATGCTCTTTACCTGCAGTAATAGTGTTTGATTGTCTCTGTGATATCTCTCAGGACTTTCTGGTTTCTCTCCTTTTGTTGCTGGTTTTGATGTGCTTCTTTTAGTGCCTGTTGCAGAGAATAAGAATAATTGAGATAACTCCTTGACTCCTTCCTCCTAACCTCCCTTTGCCCAGAATGAAATATCCTGTTTGCTGACTGACCTAAAGGAAAAAGCAAGGAAGAGCTTTCATCTACTGCACTAGTGTCTTCCAGCAGGAGTCACTGCAGGAAACATTCTAGTACTGGCTTTGGGGAGGCTCATGGTGACCGCACACTATTCACACATCCAGCGCTATCATGATATTTAGCTACTCTCCACATGTTTGGCTTCTTGGCTGGTATGGAAAAATCACTTTTTGGGTACCTGTTCTGGAAGCATAAGTATCGTTCCGTACATGTGGATCCCAGGATTTGACTGGTTTTTGAGGTATGGTGACCTACAGGAACAAAAACAAATCTGTTATCTGTATTTCAAGCAGTCATCAAGAATGGACACTAGAGCATATGGGAAAAGAACTACAAAAGCAGCATGCCCATCAGTGCAGCAGAAGCAAGGTAAAGGCAGTTGCAATAGAAATATCAGTGTTGAAACCAGGTGCCAGCCAATGTTCCTTCTAATCTCTTCCATCCACATGTGGATTTTTTCCAAACATTTCTGGAATAAATTCCTTTACATGCACCAAGGCATGCATGAATGGGCACCACCAGTAGAAACAAAAAACCTAGCTGGGGGTGCTCTGCTAATCAGCTGGGTGGCATCTGAATATTTCCTGAGAAGCCACACAAGCGCGCAGCTTACAGGGAACACTGGTGCCTGCTACAGTGGGGCTACTTGAATGTCTCAGTTTCCACCTCTTCTGCCTTTGTATGGTTCTCAGTGACTGGTAACTGGTCCTGTCCTTACTGACTTCAATGAGAACAGGAGCAGGCCTTTAGCCGAAGACCCAGCATTCAGATGTGAGGGGGAAGAAGGAACATCAGTGTGCTTTCTTCTCCATTTACTCTCTTGCCTGCTGGCACAGTGAGAAACATATATACAAATAATCTATGTATACCTATCCAAACCCAGGAAGAAATCAAAGGCAAGAACAAACTGCTGGATGCAGTTATTGATCCAGATCTAACTTATGTGCTGAGATCCACTCGATGCAAAAAGAAAAAGCAGCCATCAGGGAGCTGTTACGGTTCCCTCTCTCTCATGGTACGCCAGTGCCAGGGTTTACACCAGCTGGCCACAATTCCCAAGACACAGTATGCTTGTAAAGAATAAACTCTGCACATATCCCCTCCTAATTCCTTCTGCCAGGGTGAATTGGACTGTCTGAACCAAATGAAATTCAGAGTTGCTTTCAGGGACTGTTGCACAACGTGAGCAGTGCAAAGGGAGTAGACACCAGTAAAAAATGTGGTCCATTATTTCAAGTCTCACTCTGCACACACACATCATGGGATGCCCTCCTTGTGCCCACATAGAACACATCCTTCCTGCCCCTGAATCACAGCTGTGACCTTTGTGGTCAAACAGGAGTACTTACATCCACCTTCAGATCCCATATGCACTGCTGCTGAGAGCCCCCACTCTTGAAACACTTACTTCCCTGGAGGAGGGAAATTTGGATTTCCCAGCACTAATTATCAAGGTAGTGGGAAGGTTTCACTCTTTGTCTCGAGTCCTAGCAGTAATTTATTACAGCATGATTCAGATTAACATGGAGCCAGATGAATTTCAAACATCCACATCTTCCAGCAACACCCTCTGCAGTCCCTTGGTTCTTTTTGTCTGTTGGGATTCTTAGTGGCCACTCACAGTGTAGAGCTTCTAAGGGCTGAACCCAAAGGAAAGCTCTGCCAGAAAGGTGGCAAACAGGGCATTCCCAATGAATGGTTACCTTGTGAGGAGGCTCCTTATGAAAATAGGTAATTTCTCCTGTGTCTGTTCCCACCAAAGCCAAGAGATGCTGAATCTTTTTTCTGTCTTCCAGCTCCCTGGAATTCATGGAAAAGCATCAACACATTTCTGTTCCAAAATGCATTAAGCCTGTACTCTCTCTAGTGGGTTATTACTGTAGTTAAAGGAGAAGCTCTAACCTGTTCTTCAGATTGTCACAGACCATGAGACAATGTTGTCCTTTAGCCAGACTGCTAGAGATCCAGTTAACACTGAAAATGCATGAGAGATGTTCCCATTCTGCCGGTACAGTGAGGAATTCCCATTCTGAACTCTGACTAGGAATTAATCTCAGCAGTTTTGGTTAGCTTGAAAGAGTCTCCTCTTCTTTGGAGTGGGTAGTGGCACACTGAGTTATATAGGGATAGCATATGCTGAAAGGACAGGGTTGTGAGTTTATTAATAATAGCTCATAGTCCAGGGGCATATGGGCTAATTAGGAAGACCATAATCCTGTAGATTTTCTACTTTCCAGAAGACTGAGAACATCCTTTGCTTTAGAAGCCCATGTATTCCACCACAATCTGGAATGTGATGGACATACAGTGTTTTAGGCATGCCTTCAAAGCTACCTGAGAACACTACCCACTCCAGATAAAAGGAGATCCCTTCAAGCTAACCAAAACTGCTGAGATTAATTCCCAGCCAGACTTCAGAAGCATTTTAGAGAGGTGTGTGCTACTGAGAGCAGGGGATGTTGACCAGACGACAAAACAGGTAGCTCTGGGAAAACAGAGTTATCCTCTTTAGTCTGTGTTTTATATTAGTTTCCTGCTTCTAAGACTGCATAAAGAAATGCAGCGCAAGAATTATATCAATCTCATGTCAAGATGAACCACAATCTCCAAGCTGAAGCAGATGATTTTGTGTTCAAACTTGACCCTCTGGTAAAATTTCACTCTTTCTTATATTCCTGGCCCTATTACGTGGGCCTAAGATCCTTGGTTTCTTTAATACAGCAGTCTAGGAGTCATTAATTTCTTTTTTAAAAAAGAAGTTTGTAATAACTGAATAATAGTTCAGTAGATTTGCATAGAACAGAGGAGCAACCGCTGCATTTCTTTTCCCCAGTTCAGCATTTGGGAAGACAGTATAGGGCCTGATCCTCAGAAGTGTGGCACACCAGCAATTTCCACTGACTTTAGACTCAAAGTAAGATAAATTAACGACTTGTATTGTAGTGCTGTGACGGCACGTTGGGGACCCCCCAATCCTGCACTCCCTTAGCAGCATGAACAGACTCCGCCAGCTAGTAAAATAGAGAGGGTTTATTGTGTCTCCAGGATACAGCACAGCATAGGTGTGATGTGGCTACAGGAGTCTGGGCCAGGATGCCTCAGACCCCTTGACACGGGGTGCCTGGGCCCCTAGACTCTAAGTCCCCTCCTTAGTCTGTCTCCTTCATGGTTCCAGGCCAAGACTGCCTCGCTCCCAGACCTTGCCTCCCAGCCAGGTGTTTGTCTCCACCTCTCTCCCTTTGTCTCTCCCTGCGAAGAGCCTTGTTATCTGCTCAGGCTGGGCCTAGGTGTCTGGGCTAATACATATGTGGGCGAGACAGTGGGAATCACACATCACAGCACAGGCGGACACCGGGTTACAGAGCAGACAGCACCTCCACTACATCACAAGTGCCAAGGTGCTCCAGTTACAGACCAGGACATTGTGCTATGTGCTGTACAGGCACAGAATTAAAAGCTAATTGCTGTCAAGATGGCTCTACTACTTCATACGGCTTCCACAAACATTACCTGCCCATGAGAAACTGCTAAGAAAACGCTTCCCTCCATCCCTACTCCTTACCGCCTACACACCTGATTTTCAGTCGGTCATTCTCAGCATAGAGACGGAGCACATGTTCCCTCTCCTGGAAGAGGTAAACTTGCATGTCACTCAAAGCCTTCTGTAACTCTGCAATCTCCTCTTCACGTTGGCGCATTTCCCACTGGAGTTTGTGCTATGGAGAGAAAATGGGGCATGTGGAATGTTAGTGGCATTTGACATCAGAGACTGAGAGCATGTTTTTGCCACAAGATGACCCTAGCCTGCATCTAAAACTAAGAACTGTTGTGTGTCAAATGACTAGACTTGGCAGATTTTTACATGTATAACTAAGCATTCTTTTCAATGTTAATCCATTTTCAATTTTCACGTTGTGAGAGTTTATGGGCATGGGGCAGATAAGACAATAATTTGATAATGAGACACTCAGATTCAAAATATCAAAGCTTTATACCCATTAAAACATTGATCATATTCCAAAACATACAAAGTGAACAACCTTAAATAAAATTCTAATAAATTCTCAAATGGCATTTTTCTTACTCTGCATGGGGCCACTCCAAGATTTTGGAAAGCAGTCAAAGACCGCACTCTTCCATGATATTAATGGAGGAGATGCGGGCTCTGGGAGGGAGGTTGGGTGCAGAGGGGAGCTTGGAGGAAGCAATTGGGGTTCAGGAGGGAGACAGGGGTCTGGGAGGGAGTTTGGGTGAAGGAGGTGGTAGTGACCTAGGGCAGGGGACTAGAGTGCACAGGTTTGAGATGTGACCTAGAGTAGGAGGGCATTGTGATCTGGGACAGGAATTTAGGGTGCCAGACCTGGGAGGGGACAGAGAGTTTGGGTATGTTGAGTGGGGGAAGGGGGGCAGAGAGTGGGGGCAGGGAGAGGCTGGGGTGCCAGAGGCAGGCTGTGGCCAGGAGACTTACCAGCTAGCACGCAAACCAGCCTGCCTGCTTGCAGAGCTTAAAATGTTTCCCTGCCTGCTTGCCTGGCCATGTGCTTCATTGAATAACTGAGCCTAGGTGAGAGGGTGTGGTCTTTTTGGCTGCCTGTTATTCAAACAAGCAGCTACCATTAGCTGATTTCTGGCCAGAAACCCGCCAGTGGGATTATGCTGGGGGTGGGGTGGTTCCTGAAACTTGCCCCCTCTGCTCCAGTTTCAAAACAGAAGCGGAGCCCTGCAGCCACATTTCTGCACAGTGTGGGGGACAAGCAGGGCACCCTGCCTGGGGCTTCCTGCTGCCTCAACAGGCCAGATTAGCCGATGGGCCATATTTTGCCCAGGCCTATTCTAGAAGATACCATCAGAGATGCTTAGTTTTGCAGTTCTCAGATTGTAGATTTATGTCTCCAGAGATAACATGATTGTTAATAGCAAAAATATTTTAAATAAATAAACAAACAGAGGTGAGAAATAAAAGACCTCAACCCTATTGTCCCTCATCAAATTTGTGTAGAGTCAATTTCTATTTTCGATAAAAATAATTTTAACAAAAAAAACCCTGATTTTAAAAAACTTGAATGTTTAAGTTCAAAAATAAATATGCTTTTGTTAAAATATTATGTTTGCTGTTGAAGAAAAAAAAATCCAGAATACATAATGTTTTAGTTAAATAAAATAATGTAAATGTCAGATAATGTCCTCCTCCTAATATACCATGCCAAGAACATCATCCAACTACTAGGGATGTGAGCAACTAGTTGATTATCCGATAAGCAAAAGCTTATCGGATAGTTGGCTAGTCCCTCGACTAGTTGCTCCTCCCCCGCTTGCTGCCTCTTAATACATTTAAAAGGCAGAGCAGCAGCAGGGTTAGCTCCCGGGCTGGGAGCTAACCCCGCTGTGGCTCCCCCGCTTATCAACTAATCAATGGAAAATCCATTGACTAGTTGATTTAGTTGATTAAACTTAATTTAACATCCCAAGTACCGGAGATAGTTGAATTGGAGAATAGCTCACCACCCAATAACTGCATAAATATCTGTTTCAATTACTTTTGGTAAATGAAATAACCAAATGGTCATTCATTTTCTGATATACCTGTAAAACTAATCTGAAAAGTTTTCAAAATCAATCCTTGTATATTTATATGGTGTGTCCCTTCTAAAAATGAAACCTATGTCTATCTGTGAGTTGTGAAGAATATGTATTAAGGTTTTAACAACTGACAAGAATGCACTTTTATGTAGAAAACCATGACTAAATCAAGTCTTCCTAACTAGTGATTTAAATAATAATTTAAATAAAATCAACCTGTATAGCATCTAGCACAATGAGGTCATGGCTCATGACAGACTCCCAGGTGTAACTGCAATATAAATAAAATCTGTCCCAAAATAAATGCTTATTAATTTTGGCTAAATGATCATTCCCTTTTTACAGTTCCTCTGTGGCGTGCAAGGCAAAAGAAAAACATAGTTCAACAAGCCAGGTGAATATCTAAGCAGTGTTCAGCAGTTAAGAAAATCCCCAACAGCATAAAGGATTCCCCCAAGTAGAGCAAGAAACTAAAACAAAATTACTTCTCATTCAGTTCTGAATTACCTCCATTTGGCTCTGAAATTGGGAGAACAGATGGCCAAAATTCACTCATTTCTAGTGGCTCAAGACATAGTGATTCCCCTTCAGCTCAGTCCTACCATATCCCCCAGCAATTCCCATCATGAATTATGTCAGCAATGTTAAGTCTTCAACTCAACCAAGTGTATTTATATCACCAGCAAGCTATTTACCTGCTCATCATATGTTCCTTTGTATCTCTCTAGCCTTTTCAAAAGGTCCTGATGTTCTTCATCAAACTCTGCAATCTTCTTACGATAGTATTCCAGCAGCTCTCGGGAGGGACGGAGGATGGCCAGGCGTTCACTGATGGAAGGGAGGGGAGTAGAATCCCCCTGACTTAGAGTTGGAGAACTGGTATATTTGGAGGAGACATGGGAAGCTGCCAATCTGGATAGAGGGGTGGAACACAAATACAAAGAAGATGAAGGAGCTAATGGCTATTCATTCATACAAGTTTGCTGTACCCTACAATGGTAGCTGAGAAAATAATTCTGCCACAAGAACAAAGTTTGAACTCCATGCAATAATAGCACTAGGATAATGTTCAAAATCTGATTTCAAAGATATCACCTTTAAAAAAAAAAAAAAAAAAAGCTGTATTTAGCTTTAAGTGATACATTTAGTTCACATCTTCTCTGTCTCCAACAGTCTGATCTCTACATTACTAAACCAGGATGTGTGGCATTTTGGAGATACAAGTGCCTTAATGTGGAACAATGCAGAGTTGTAGCTGCCAGACAAAGTGGGTGAGAGAATATTTTTTTATTGGACCAATCTCTGTTGGTGAGAGAGACAAGCTTTTGAGATACACAAAACTGTTCCTAAGGTGTGGGAAAAGTACTTAGTGATTTACAGATTATTTTTATAAGCCAGAAACCCTAACCCCCCTTTTTGTGTTATGACTAAAGGGGTTTTAACAGGCCACTTCACCTGGAATGGACTCTTAGAACAGTGGTTCCCAACCTTTTTTATATCGCGGGTTGGCAAACCCATTCACAAACGTTTGGTGGACTGGTGATATTGTATCTGTAATGAATATGCAATGAAACATTGCCAGTCTGCCAAAAGCCCCGGCCCCCAAAGCCACCGCGAACAGCCAACTTCAGCTCCAGCAGCCGCCTGCCACATGGCGACTGCCAGAGCTTAAGCTGGCTGTTCCCAGTTGCTAGGGATGGTGTACACCTCGGCCTCCTGAGCCACCGCACAGAAGCAGGCAGTTGCTGCAGCTGAAGTCGGCTATTTGTGGAGGCTCTGGGAGCCGGGGTTCGGGTGTGCCCTGGCCGCCTGAACCACCGTACAGCAGCCGGCTTCAGCTGAAGCTGGTTGTTCGCGGTGAATTCTGTAGCTCTAGTAGCTCATGATAGCAACTGGTTTTCTTTTGGGCAAGAATCCTGTCCTGAGCTCGCCCCTGCTCTGCAGATGCCCCTCACTCCCAACCTGCAGCCCCTGCTAGCCCAGCCCTAGGCTCCCCCCAGCTCTGCCAGTGTTCCTCACTCCTGACCCACAGCCCCTGCTAGCCAGGGCCGAGAGCCACGCACTGAACACCAAGTAGTTCCATCTTTGAACTTCTACACCAACCTCCCAGCCACTTGGCATCATCAGCACGTGGAGCCATTTCTGAACACTCCTTCCCCAGCCCCAGCCCCTAGTCCTGTTCAGAACCCCAAAGGCACCCTGCATGCCTGTCAACCCATCAGAGAGGGGACAAGGGGGACGTGCCTGGGCCTGGCTAGACCAGGGCTCAGATGAGGAGGTCAGAAGGTGTCCTGGTGTCAAAGCCTCTGTTGCCCATGGCTGAGTGCAAGCCCCTTCCTATCCTCTGCACGGTCCCCAAGCCCCCCACATGGCTTGGATCCCGTGGGTGGGGTTAAACCCTTCCGGGGGGGCAGAGGAGGGATTTGGTGCACCTGAGGGCAGAAAGGGCCATGCCAGGAGGATTTCTGCTCCCACCCAGGGACTTGGGCCACCAGGCTCCCAAAAGGGCTCCCCTGGGGGAAGCCAGGAAGCCAACTGCAGCCTGCATCACATGTAATGTTTGGGGGGGGGGGCACTTTTCTTAGCTCTGCCCCACACCACCTTCTCTGTACTGGGTCCTACATGCTTAGAGGGGACCATGCCCCAACCACTTCCCAGAGCTGTGTCCCCCCACCATGCCAGCCCTGCCCCCTTCTCCACAGAGGAGTTCGTGAAGGGAGGATGTGGGTAACATTGTTCAGTAGACTCTTGCCCCATGGGGCAGGGCACCATAACAGCCAGCGCCATCCCATTCCGAACCCCCTGTATCAACCCCATCCCTTGCATACAGGGAGGCACTCTGAGGAAGGAGAAAGAGCTTAGTTTCATCCTGAACGACTCATCAGGTAGCAGTGAGACCAGACCCCAGACACTCCTCCACTCCCCCTGCACCCAACCCCATCCCCAGAGCCCCCCCAGTGCCAGTCCTAACCCCTAAAGCCCCCCACCCCTCCACTATCCCAGCACCAGCCACTGATCCCAAAGTCCCCTGCACCCAT